ATATATATATAAAGTAACTACCTCTACAGTTAACAGCAATGAAACATATATTAAAATATTAAAAGTCCAATTTAAGAAGAAAAAAATCATACAATATTACATACAGTGAATACTGAAGTTATTTAACACCTAATTAATAATATATTATGTACTTAACGATACAATACCTGCTCACTAATGTATTTTACAGTAAATTTAGAAACATCAATCAAAATATTTTGGAAAAATATCCATACCTGAATTTCAATCAGCTTCCACGTCATTCATTGTAGATTTATGTCTCAAAAGTAATTAAATGACACAAAAGATAAATTCTTTTTCAAACAACATACCTTTAGATTTTATTCCATGAAAATCTCTTTTAAAATAAAATATCTTACCTGTCGTGAGTGACACTTCTTTTGAGCTTTGTCTGTGTCCTAAAACTTTGAACTGTGGAAGCTCAACATCACCTGACATTCCAACAGATTTAAGCCCTTGGAGCCAAAAATATGTTATGTCAGCCATCGTGTAACCAACTGCAATCATAAAGAATAAACAATAAGCATTTAATTGATATAAATAAAATCTTTATACAAAGATTTTAATTGAATGCTGCAAAAAATACTGAACATTTATGAAATTTTATTCGCTTTTGGAAAAACCATTTCCTGGAAACTGCTCCGAGGAAATATTTTGATAAATTGAGGTCATTAATACATTCCCTTGCTTGAGAATACAAATCAACATGAATGATAAGCAAATGCAGCATAAAAAAGTACACCATAAACTAAACCCGGATGATCTGTTTGACAAATGAAAACACTAACACCTGTATAATATCGGTTAGCAAGCAGTGTTAAAGATTTCAAAATGATGATGAAATAGTCGTGACGTCATATCATATTAAAAGAAAACTACCATAGCTTTCTAGTAAAGTTAATATAGAAGTTTTTTCGAATAATTTACCTCAAAAATAATTTACAGTTTCAAATAATTCACTATTAGCAAACAGACCACAATATAAAAGGGAGAGGAAGGTTAGCGTAAATTTACAATTGTCCCATGATTTAGGATGGATGAGGCATAAATTAATTATTTCGAAATATTCTCACTTGAAAAAAGGATTATCCAAATTGCTTGAAATTTAATAACTACACTGTTAAGAAGTAACTAAAGACAATAAATACAAAACAATTAATTAAAAAAATGTTTTTAATGATGTTGCATTTTTAGAACATTATCATTTGACAGGAGGTTTTTTATTTTATTTATAATGAAAGAAGAGAAAGAATATATTTTCAAATGAAATGAATAGTGATATTACTAAACTCAGTAGTTATTTCATTCTTCAAAATTAATTGCTGGTTTGACAATAAAATTTCCAATAATACAGATAGATATTAGTTAGATTTAATTACACAGATAAATAATAATTATTACCTAGAATTAATATTAATGACTATTGTATGATACTAAACAATTTTGGTACAGACACTTTTCAAAATGAAAACGCTTCTTTTGGGTAATTTTTTATACACACAATGACATTGTTTTATAAACACTTATTAATTCCCATCCGATAGTCAAAAATTACATATTACTGGGAAGATATATTACTGGAACGATTAGAATTCGTAGATTTTTTGGCTGGAAACTCATTGTTAATTGTCATCTAAGTTCCAAATGAAAGGTTCTTTGGTCATGTTCGTGCAATCCACGCCATAAAATTCAGCTTGAAATAACAACAGTAATTAAATAATTGCCAAAAAGTCATCATTACCGTTTTTGTTTATTGTTTCTAGTATGGTTAAGCTTTTCTTAGTTATGTTACAGCGAAGCAAAATTTGCAAATTATAAAAAATAAAGGAAAAATCCCTTTTCTGTAACACAGAGGAGATGACATTAAATATATCTCAAAAATTATATAAATCACAAGAATCATGAAAAAGATATAGCAAGAACCTATTCAATATGACTGCAACAAACATATTTAAAAAGCGTTTTTATGTTGAATTCCAACTCTCTCGTTATCAAAAATACAAAAAATGTGTAACACTTCCTGTTAACAAAACTCATATCAGAAAGAATTTTCTCTATATTGTTGGAATTTTAATGGAAGAGAGAAAAAATTACTGCGAGAATAAATGAGTGCATTAAATTTTAAGCATTGTAATAGCACTTTCTTACCAGTTCCAGGGAAATTCATGTTATTTCAAGACCTTCATGGTCAGAAATTGTAAACACTTCTTATTTATTTCAGCATCATTATTTTTCATAAATAAGAGAAAGAATAAAAAATGAAGGAAATGCACACTTTAAGAAATGGAACTCTTGTAATGTCAATGTACCAAAGATAGAACATTTGGTTTTGAACAAAAAATTTTATTTTAAAATTTGTATTTTGATGCCTAATGGTAGGTTATACTGTCCGTGTAATATTTTTATGTATTGATCAGCTTTAAATATATGCCGAAAATTTTTCTCTAAAATGTTTCTTTAAATATATATGACGAAAATATTTCTTTAAATATATGCTGAAAATATTTCTCTATTCGTTAAACTGAAATATTATTATTTCAGTATAACGAGTTTTATTACTCGTTATTCTAGTCCATGTTCAATTATTGGAAAAGTTGATAAACAGTATATCTAAAAATATAGTCTTGGAGAATAAATCTTGACGAAGTTTAATTTTGTTATTGTTAATAGCTATGAAATTTTAATATTTGAATTAGCAGTTGAACATTATTCTCATTGTAAAATTTGTATATTTTACAAAATTATTCTAAAAGAAAACAGAGTAAAATTTGGTTTTTCATACACGGAAAAACAAATTCTGATAATAATTACCTTAAATTTATGACATTTAAGTACATCTTTGATTTTTTGTAAGAAAACATAATTATGGTAATTAAAATCAAAATATACTGTACTTAAGCCAATTATTTGGTAATCTTTCGGCTCAGATGGTACCCGTTTACTGGAAATTTTGACTTTCAAAATTATAGTTCTAATTACTACACAATTAGTAAAAATAAAAACAAATTAAACAAATATTTTTTATGCCATGCTCTAAAGTATTATGTTAAAAATTACTAAATTTTGTCACATTTACCAAATTTTATTACATTATATAGAACCATGTTTTTGTTAATTTTACCAAATTCATAAATAAACCCACTTCGGTAAAATTATCAAGCTTTTTGGTAGTTAGGTGTGACCATACTTTTTTTCTCAAGGTAGTTAGACAAAATAGACTTCACAGTCAGACTTAATTTTTCACACACAACAAATTTACTCCATTACGCGCAACGCACTCTCAACATTGTTGTACTAAATTCAAAACAAAATTAATCTAATTAAAATAACAGTCTCGCACTCAGACGTAAGCGCATCGTTTCAAAATTAATTCGAAGATTTTAATTTTCCCGATCAGTGCAGATAGCTTAAAAAAAATCTAGGCAATTCTTTAACTTAAAGAAAAAAAAATCAGCAGTGCATAGAATTTCTAAGACAAATTTATACCAGGCAATAAAACTTAAAATAATCAAGGATAACGATTTTGTGTAAGCGCATCACTTCAAAGTTAATATAAAGATTCACTACCAATCAAAACAACTCGACGATTTCTTGATCTTAAGGTAAAAAGTCGAAAATTTGGCTCCTCCTACTCACCACACAAGTACACACATTTATCTGCATGCATAATTACAATCCAAACCCCACATTAACAGTTATTATCATCTATGTTAGCGAGAAAAATAAAAAAAAACGCATGCAGATGCATAACAAATCATAACCCAATTGTAATCAATGTTTTACTTCCCTATAAAGAGGTGTTCACTAACATTCCAATACAAAACTGGAACCAGTACAACACTGTTCCACTTTTTAAAACACAAATTCCAATATAATACTAGGTACGGTACAATATCAGTGCCAGTATATACTGATTCCTCTAAAATGCTTGTGTTGGTATTTTAACAGATAGAGTATGGGACAAGTTTATGAAACACTAATCATGGTATAGCGCTGAATCAAGAATGACTATTGAAGCATCAATTGCAGTTTTATACCGGCTCGTGAATTATCGGTGTCGATATGATAATCAGATCTGGTAACTAACTGGAACCGATAAGATACCGGTTTATGAAACACTGGTTTCAGTGCAATATTAAGAATCTAGTATTATACCGGCACCAGTGTTTCATTAGCTGGTGTAATCTATTTTATAATTTTTTTTTAATTTTTCCAATACATATTTTTAACTTTTAAAATACATATATTTTTTATTTTTTTCTCAATATATATATTTTTTATTTGTTTCTCAGTATATATATTTTTTCAATTTTACCAATATATATATTTTTTTTAATTTTACCAATATATCTTTGTTAAATTTTTTCATTTAGGTACTATTCTCTTTTTTCTTCTACTTCTAAAATTCTGGTTCTTTAATTATTAGGTTGGGATATTCGCTTCGAATATTATAATATTTGCCTACAAAAGCCAATAAATTACTCATTGAAGTGCAACTATTATTGCTCACGATTTGATTGCATTTCTTATTAACAAAATTTTTTTACCCCATATATTGATCAAAAGAGCTTTGTTTGGTTTATTACAACTGTTATTTAAAAGTGAAACAGAAAAACAAAGTAATAGTGAAATGCATAAAAAATAAAAATTATCATCATTACGATTTGTTATGCAAAAACATTATATTAGCTATATTTCTTTAATTACTGTGCTGAAATATGCGCAAACTCCCCTAGTTTTACTTTAGTTTAGTTTAAGCTGTAAAATTCTAGATTGTTTTAGGCTAAACATGTAACCACTGTAAAAAGTTCTGGATCAAATTTGGGTAAGAGGTACCGGCACTCACCACACCAGCTTTTTTTACCGTAAAATCTATTCATGCTGTAAATTTTATGAAACAAAAATCTGCACATCGTAAGTTTTCATTACTATTTATTGTAAAATCGCTGAACCTCTGTATATTATTATAATAAATATTACTGTGAAATATACGATTTAGAATAATAATAAGGCAAACATAGACTTAACAGTAAAAGGAATTTTACGAATGATGCTCCCATTGTGTTAAAGCTCTGAAATAAAATTTTAGAAAACTCATAAGGACACTCGGGGATTACTAAATTAAAAAAAGACAATCAAGTGCTCTTGGGTTCTTTAGATACCATTTTTTCTTTTAATATTTTCTTTTATAAATTCAAGATACCAAACATGAGATCGTAAATAGATAGTTTCTTACCTAAAATGTATAATTGGTGGTGCTTTTGTGCTAGATCATCGAGTTCCAATTAAAAGCAGGAACCGCGAATAAAGCTCTAACATCTTATAGGCAGTTCACAAGAACAGCGTATTTTCCTAAATCATATGATGATATTTGCTTGAAACATAAATTTTTTTTTAGTATTCTTTTGTACAATGCGTTGTAAAAATTTAAAACAGTCATTAATAACAAGGACATTTCAAATTAAGATCAGACTTCTTGAAAAGAACCAAACCCAGG